TTGAGCTATCTGACGACGTCCGGTACGCCATTCAGGAGATTCCGGTGGTCAAAGTTACCACTCTGTTTGAAAGCATCCGGTGAAACACACCAAAAATGTCTATTAAAAGCTCTATAAAATTTACCAGGAGCAAATTTTGTGGCTGACGACGTGGTTATTCAAGTCCACTGTAGAAGAACACGACAACAATTTCGATCAATTTCTCCAGAGATGCGCTTACAGAAACATTAAACTGGTACTTGACAACGTGAAACTTCGCAAACCAGAGGTAGTATTTAACGGATACATTTGGCTCCGATGGATTGAAACCTAATCCGGGAAAAGTCAGAGCGATAAAAGAAATTCCCCCCACCCTAACTGATGTGGAAGAATTCATTCAGTTGAACGGAATGGTCAACTGCCTGAGTCGTTTTTTACCACGACTAGCAGAAACATTGACGCCTATACGCAAACTAACACACAAAGGAGAAGATTAGCACTGGAATAACGAACAAGAGAAAGTCTTTAATAAAGCAAAATAAATGATCGCGGCAATACCAATAGTCGTTTATTTTGATCCATCTCTGCCTCTCAAGATACAGTGCGATGGCAGTCAGCATGGAGTTGGAGCAGTGCTGATGCAAAACGTAAAACCTCTGAATTTTCGAACTCGGAGTTTGATACTAGCCGCATGCCGTTATGCACAAACTGAACGGGCGATGCTCGCAATCAGGAATGCTGTCGAATGCTCCAATGATTACACCTTTGGGCGTAAGACCATTGTGTGCATAGATCATAAACCATTGGTGTCAATCGTCAATAAGCCCCACCATGTTGTGTCGTGTCGTCTCCAGAGGATGCTCATTCGGATACGTAAATACGATTTGGAGATCGTCTACCAGCCTGGGACGCAAATGTACATCGTAGACGCGTTACTGAGAGCCAATTTTTCGGATGCAGGTGAAGTGCAAGAGGACCTTGACACGGTTCATGCGACACAGCAACTCGCCGTCACCGGAGAGCGTTTACAACAAGTGATGTGTTGCACGGACGAAGATGTAGTTTGCGAAACGTTAGAAAGAACAATTGCTAATGGATGGCTAGAGGACAAGAAGAGTTTGTCGGCAGAACTGACACCATTTTCCATTGTCATGATGAACTTGTTGTAAAAGACGGTTTGACCTTCAAAGGAAACCGAAGATTAATCCTAGAGGCAATGTAATACACCATGCGGAAGTTGATTCATAGTGCAAACTTGAGAGTGAATAATTGCATCGCACGAGCCAGGGAGCTGAATTTTTGGTTTGGGATGGCTACTAAAACTAGAGACTACGTGTCCAACTGCTCAACTTGTCGTGCACATGATGTTGGACAAACGAAAGAACCAATGGCGCTTCGTGAGGTCCGGGAAAGGCCATGGCAGTAGACTTATTCATGCACGACGGAAAGGATTACCTAATCACGGTGGATTACTTTAGTGATTATTTTGAGATTGATGCAGTGCCCTCGAGCAGTGCTCATGCAGCAGTAAACAATTTGAGCGGTCATTTTGCTCGACATGGAATCCCTGAGGAAGTAGTATCAGGCGACGGATCGCAGTTTACTGCTGAAGAGTTCCGAAGTTTCAGTAAGAAGTGGGAAGTTGATCATCGTCTCATCAGCTCTTGCCAAAGTCAGTCGAACGAAAAGGCTGAGGTAGCGGTGAAGGATGTAAAGAGAATACTAAGCAAAGCTAAAGAGCTGAAAGAGAACCCGTACATTATGCTTCAGGAACAAAGAAACACTCCGTCTCAGGAAATCGTAGTAAGCTCTGTTCTACGTTTATTCGACCGCAGAGCGAGCATTTATTGCCACCGCCAAAATTATGATCCATTCGGAAGTACAATCCATGACGACGATGCATGACCGTTTGGAAAAGATAATGTTCAGGCAGTATCAGTATTATGGTCGCGAGTTACCACCATTTCGGGTGGGCAAAGATGTATGGATACAATTGGCGCCTGGAGTAGTAAAACAATGGAAGAGAGAAATGGTGGGAACGCGGGTAAGAGAAAGAAGTTACTTAAGGTGGGAAACGGTTTGAACCGGTGAAAACCTATTCGCGTGAGACAGCATCAGCCAAGTAGTGTGACGTCGAGTGCGCACGAAGCCAGCAGAAAAACCGAGGTGACGGAGAAGACAGAAAGAGCAGAGGCAGCGGAAGATCGTAAGGAATTTCAACACCGAGAGAGCCAAAACTGAAAAAGCAGGGTGTGGTATAAGCATTGTAATGGCAGTCGTTGATATTCGACTACGCATTCGGATGGAACTGATAAGAGACCGCTGGTGATCGACTGTCCGCCGCCAGTCGAGCAGCAACGCCTACATACGTAAGCGAGTATCGCCTTGTACGCCCGCAAGACAAATTGGCTAGATCAATGAATATGCCAGAGGTAGCCAATCTAGGAAGACGAAATCGGAATCGCTCAACGGAGCGTAGGTGGCCCTATAGACAATATGTTTCTTTCTGATCAAAATAGATTCTGACCGCAGCCCAGTCTTTGTCCTTGATTCCTGGAAGGGTACAAGACCCGTGTTGACAAGGAGGCTTGGTGGGCCATTATGGCTCAAGAAGTGGAGGAGGCAGGAAGACTAGGCAATTATGGTAAACTCTTTCAACTGGTTCGCACCAGTTCCCAGGAAACCAATAGTCAGTGAGACAATCAGACAGCCATGGTGCTAAGATGCGCAATAAGAAGCACCAGTTGGCTCGTTGAGCGTAGCACTATCGAGAGCAATTCAGCTGGCCCCAACTATCGGGACATTACTCTCTCAGGTGGTGAAGCACGAAACATGGCCAGTTGGTTTAGCGGGCTATCAGATGCCGAGGTCCGAAACGCGATCAGTGCTATTAATCATCTTCGGGCTACTTGCAGAAAACGTTTGATCTTGGATATGCGGAGGATTTTGTTTTGCAGTTTAACAATGTTGGGGCGACCTAAGCAAACCCAAATAACCTCTCTAGAGTCGTCCCATTAGTTGACATACACTTCGCACCTTCAAAGTGCAAAGTGTCGTTACAAGACCACCAGCTACTTAATAAACACATGATAGCAAAGTACTACAATTAGTTGGTAGCGGTATCAGTAAGGACAGCTTCATAACTACTAAATTCATTTCAGGCATTACCAAAATAGAACTGTCGTCTTGTGTCTGCGACATCAGTGGTGTCAGAACGGGGTTTCCATCAGTCTGGGAGGCCGTGTTTACAATTCCATAGTGAGAGCCGTCCTAATTTATGGGAGTGGAACTTCGCCCCTTCCATGTGAGGACCTGTGGCGTCTTCAAGTTTTTGGTCAGCCCTGTCGGCAGAGCACTGCTGTTGTCGTGTGGCACCAGCATGTCCAAAACGACGATGAGCGTAGGCGAGTGCAAGGTAGAGATAATCACCCTAATTTCTTTGAAATAACAGATGGCACGGAGTAAGTTCAGTTGGCTTGGGCACGTACTAAGAATGCCAGATCACCGTTTACCGAGGAGCGCCTTGTTTTGTCTGCCAGATGTAGGGTGGTGCAGGGCTCGAAATGAGCCAAAGTTCATTTGACAACCGGAAATGAAGTCACCGATAATCAGACAGCGTACTGTTGGTCCGTCTCGTCTTCCACAATGAAGTCCACGTGATTCACTTTGTGCTTGGCTCAAGACATTACAAGACATGGTTCGCAGTCGGCACTAGAGGCATGTCTGCTGTCGTCTCCTGGTCGGACTGCCTCTGTTAAGTTTGTGTGGCGCTTAGTTATCTGCGGAGTAATGTTTGATTATGACGAAGAGCAGTGAAACTCGCAAGGAGTCTATCTCACCGATGTCGTCTTAGCTTTGCACGACAGACAGTTGTTTGTGGCCATATGTTGTTGACAAAGTGTAGTTGCCCTGGGCATGAATGTTTTCTTAGAGCTTTAGCGCTTCAAGCTAGATCCTGTTTCGCGCCCCGGTATTATTCCCCATTCCTTAGGTCGTCGTAGTTGTACGACAGTGAAGCATGGGTTCAAATGCCTGATATTTTACTCTTGGTGATAATGAGAAAAACTGCACGGAAAGTAACTGGGGAACATGTCGATTGAGGTATTTTAGTTTCAGAAATGGGTGGATGAAACCAGGTTAAGTTTAAGTTGTGTGGTCCTACCCAGATACTAGTCACAATCAGTGGCAAGTAAGAGGTGTGCGAAGAACGAGAATGCGGAGAAAATTGAGAGTGGCTGCACCCAACGTGTATTGGCGACAGAAAAATTGAATGGAGAGCAGGGAAGCAACGGCAGCGTAGCAGCGCGATTCACCGCGGAGGAGTAAGTGAACGGGATACACCATCAGGTAAGTAAATGGACAGTTACAAGATATAAGAACCAATAAAATTCAGTGCTGCAAAATACTGAAAGAATGTTTGATTTACACAACAAAACGTTTCACTCTGGTAAAAGCGCTCCTGTACTGTTGGGAAGACAAGCTTAACGACAGACTTTATCAATCTAGTAAAGAGCAAGCAGTTACCGCCATTCAACTGAAGTCCATGTATTCAGCTTAACTATCAAACTTCGCTCAACACTCACAGACCAACAGATGTCCGGTGCCAAACGCTACTCTCACTTCACGTCTACAGGAGGCGTATAACATCGGATTCAATGAGCTTCAGTCCATTGGATTAGATCAGAACAGCGGTCTTTGGTGCGCTAAATGTGCCGAATGCTGTTTTTCCCCGTCACAGTAGAAGCTAGACTGACAAGGTAGGTCTACTGCGCAATAAGAGACGCAACAACAGATCGTTAGCAAGGGGCAAAAGATACTTAAAGGGTAAAGACCAAAAGCAAGAACCAAGCTGATAGACATGAGAAAACAATTTTTCCCTAAGTCAGGAGGCATCACAAATCCTTATAAAAACATTGACGTGACCAGGTATTTAAATGAGTGAGTATGAAGCAAAGGAAGTTCACGAGTAAGCGAAAAATTGGAAATGATAAGACACAAACTAATATGCATTGAAAACTCACGTCAGCTCAAGTTGCTTTCGTTCAGTGTAACCCCGATAAGTCGCCTGAATGTGGGTAGCCGCTCTCTCCCTCCGCAAGCTTTCAGCTTCTCGACGTGCTCGATACTGGCGGTATTTGGATTGGATTATAATGGCCGCCTCCGTTTGCTCATGTTTGGAGGACTTCAAATCAGCAGGCTTACGAGCAGAACAAACCAAATATACCAGTGATAAAGAATAAAACTTAACACGTGGTTGGCATAGACACTAAAATAAAGTGCTGGAATGAATGAAACCAGAACAGAAACCAGATGACTTTACCCAAACTATCTCACAAAATTCTGAAAAGAGGTGAGAAAAGAGTAGCAGAGAGATACATGAGGCGGCTGAATGTGTTAAAAGCCCATAAACATAACAAAAGTATTTTTATAAGGAAATTTGCAACTTGGAAACGAGGATAATCATCTACAGGTCGTTATGCCAATTAGATATAACGAACAGCGTGAAACATGTTTCTAAAAGATATGTTACTGAGGTTATAACTATGTGATTTTTCAAAAGACAATCGTAATTGTGGACTTACCCGTAACTTCCCGATCCCACTCCCTTCTATTTAAAAAAACGACCCCAATGCATATATCGGTGACTAATCGGCTGAACCCTAACCGTAACAACAACTGTCCTGTTAGTAATGAAGACCGATCAAGTGTCAAGTACAAAGGCGATGAGGAATACCTTGTATGCTACCGAAGAGAAGTCAGTCAATTTCCGAAACTTTATCACAAATTATAAAAATCATCCTTTGAGTCTAGTATGATATCGGTTATTGTGCCTTTACCGCAGTTGCAATTTTGGCTGAACCAGTACAGTTGCAGTTCACTATGACGCAACCATTGCTCAAATTTTCCGAATCAACTAGTGTACCGTGCACTTCCCAATGGAGCTAGAACGATACTTCATTAGCATAGATGATAACGTCGGTTGGATGGAAACCGCTGTTTTGTAAATGACGGAATCGATTATATTTAGGTTGTTGACAAAATTCAGCAAGACAAATTACGGTGCAGTTGCTCCAATCTACGGCAAGAAACACTGTCTAAATTGTTAAACGGGGTACTTTAACCAGCAGCTCAGATGGTTTTCTGTCGCACACTTCGCCGCGCTTAGCAAATTCTCAGCAAGCCTTCCGTCACTATCGTACAGTGGTGCAGTGTGATGCATGTAGATCAAAGCCGTTTACCTGGTCACATCGTTGAGTCTCTTCCTGCTCAGGAGGAGCAGTCTGAACAAAACAGCAGTCTGATGTACCGGAGACCGAGGTGTGCGGTGACCATCAAGAAAGACTTCGACTCAGGGACAAGGTGGATTTCTAGGTACGCGTCTGCCAGGTAGGTCTTCGCGAAACAAATGCCACCATTAAACATTGTGAAGGCGTCAGCTGAATTCGGTGGTGGATAGCAGTTCGGTTCCAGTAAAGAACTGAGAGCAATGGAGCAGTTGATACATGTAAAGGGACAGATTTGATCTATTGACCACAACAACCAGCGCTACCTAGGAGAAATAGGACACATGTACTAGGATACCCATGTCTGCCAACTGCTTCAGTTAAGCATGGATCACTGGTAGGGCTGTGTATGGGACAGACATATGGGGTGGTATACCGATGGAGCACCAGGTGCGACCTGTAACGCGGCCCGAGTGATTGTACAGCGGTCAAGCCTATCCTGGAAACCTGAGGGGAACGTCTGATGGTGTCATTAGTTCGGTCGGTAGGTAATAGAAGTAGTAGTAGTAGCATCAGTAGTAGTGATCTCAACTATCTATAAACCGGACAAAGAGCCGACAGAAAACTATGGAGATGAGTGGGTAAGAGACAGTCATTGCGTCATAATCATCGTGTTAAAGGTGAGCAACACACTTCAGCCAGTATGCCGCAGGACGAATGGACCATTTTGACAGAAAGTAGAACAAAACATTTTAGTTTGTTTTCCACACGCCGATTTTTCTCTTTTTCGTCGTTTTCAATGTTTGTAGTGTTAAACACGTGATTCAATACAATACTGTACACAATTCTTCCACTGATTCCGGTTGCGGGCCATGTCTTCAAGTGTGCTAAGCCATTGGCACTCCTCATCTTTGGATCTCCATCCTGGAAGACGTACGGATCCAACAGCGGCTAGACACGACGTCAGCGATTTTATGTGCTGCCGCCAAGTGGAAGGCTGACCACCACGCGGTCACCTCCAGCCAGGCCCTCGACGAGCGAATAGAGCGCGACGCGGTAGACGCTCAGGTGCCATGCGTAGGACGTGACCGAGCCATCTTAACTGGCGCAACAAAACCAGTTTGTTGAAGGGAATACTCGCATTCCCCATGATGCGACATTGAACGTCATTACTTTTAACTCGATGTTGCCACCAAACACGAGCGACCCTCCCTCCGTTATCGAAGGCAGAAAGACGACGCATGTCTTCCACGCCAATCTCCTTAGGTCGTGCTGGAGATTGTAAGGCAGATCGGTCAAACCAAGGTTTTTGAGTCAATCGAGACTAAGAAGGTTGTCATCCATGTTCGTGGTGTAGCAGATCCCGTCGAATGTCGCATCTCGAAAGGAAGCGGAGCAGTGAAGTTGCACGCGACCACCACAGGCGCTGGTGTCGGAATGGGAGGTCGGCTCGAAGGGTGTCTTACTAAGTGATTGCCAGAGATCCTGGGAGACAATCGTGATGTCTGTGGTGGTGTGTAACCACAATCGGACAGACTGCCTGTTGAACAGGATGTAGACGAACGTCCTGTAGTCAGCTGCGTTGACTTGGAATGTGACCAGCAGGCTCATGGAGCAGCCATCTGTATTCATTTTGTGTTTGGTCTGGAGCGGAGCCTCTGCTTTGGACTGCGATCGAAGGGCATGCGAGGCATGGCCCCCCCTGGGTTGGTGACGAGCGTCTCAGTCTAAGTAGAAATACCAGACCTCACAGAACACACACGGAGATGTGGACTTCGCTCAGTTGGGTTGGATAGGCCGCACAGGAGAGTGTGAGTTTGATAGTGCGACTGCCTGGAGCAGATCAGGTGCGGAAGCGTTCTAGATCATCATGGAGTCTTGCTTGAGCTTGATCAGCATTTGACAATCCTCGGCCAGCTTTTGGTATGTTCGCACCGTTCTACCGCATCTAAGTTGGAGGAAACGTCCAGTTATATGTATCTTGAAGGGACTGAAGGCCAGAGATGAATACCAGGTATTCGAACGGGTCCTTTTTGAGCGATCCGAGCTGAAATCGTTTACGTTCTCGATTGACAATGTCCGAGTACTTAACGAATTCATCGGTATCGAACTTCGCCAGATGGAGGCAACAGAATCGTTACTGATCAGTGAGGACTGTTAGCCAAATATCTGTGAAAGCGTCCAGACCGTCTCGACAAAGGTAACGTCTGGGTGGTTATTTCGAATTAACATTCCTCATTATACACGTTAGGTGCAGGTGGAGAATACCTCAGCTGTTGCGCCGCAATACATAAAAAAGAAAAAAAGTGCATTAGAGGCATGCCGGCTGAGTCACCAGTAACGGATGGACATCTTTTCGGAGAGCTAACAGCCGGCTCTTGTGCCACAAAATGTAATATTATGCCTAACAAATGAGATCGTGTTTGGAGGGGGATTTTAAGCAGGAGGAAGAGAGACAGATAAACTCCCAACACAAACGACGATGGGGCTAGCTCCTAGCCCTATCAAAAAGTGTATTCAGCCAAACGTGTTCGTCCTTCGGTCCCTAAGCAGGGAGCCGAGAGGCTCCAACCGAGGCCTGCATCAAAGTAAGGGACTTTGTTCCTCTTGACCGAATCATCACTTGGCCACACGTCCTCTTCTTCCATCCGCACCCCCAGCGAGCAAACAACGCACGTCGCGGAAGCCGATGGCCTGGCATGCGTAATATGTGGCCCAGCCATCGGAGTCCGGTGCGCGAAACAACGGTGCTGAGTGGTTCGCTTCTTCTTCTTGCGCCATAAACAAGGCATCGAACACGCCCATTGCTCACACGGTGCTCCCACCAGATAGGAACCAAACTGCGTCGGCATCTGTGGTGGGAAGATGAAGTTGGCAGAACGTTGATGATCGACAGTGCTCAAATAACAAGAAAGCGGTCGGAGCCTCCACGCGTTATCATGACCGGCCAGGTCAGGAGCAAACAGGTCACCGTCGGTGTTTCGATCGTACAGTAACTCCGAGTCGCTGCTAGCGATATAATCCACTGATTGAAAACTAACAGTGGCACCTAACTGAAGGGATGTTGCGTCGAGTTTATTAGTCAAAGTGAACGGTACCTAGTTGCCGCTGTAACAGCAACTTTAAATCAGTGTGTTTGTTTGCCATGGTTTGAAGAGCGCTCCATCGAGTATTTGCTATAACGACCCGGTTGTAAATGCTATCTTATTCGGAACGAAAGCTATGGTACCCACAAGCTGTAGTCCCAAAGCGAACGGCTCAGTCTTGTCGGAACTGCATTCCGAAAATACGCGACTTGAACGTTCACGACGGACGAACTTAAATCCATGAAAGAGAGAGAGGAACAATAGGAAGACAGGCTTTCGGCAGAGTGCACTTACCACACGACAAAATTTAGTGCAAATCTGCACAGCCTCGAGGACACACAGAGGCTGGTGACAGTCAAGGGTGAGAAGGCGGGGGCATAGCGAAACATGTGGGTCCACATAAATGTGAGGAATAAGCGGAGGTGTCGGAACATGTGAGTTCACACAGATGCAAGTTTCTGTGCCAAAAATGAGTAGGCGGAGGCGTTGCTTACTTGGATAGGGCTTACGTGGTGCTTTAGGTACGCTTCCTCCATATAACACGGGTGGTCGAGAAAATCGTACGGTAAGCCCCGGAAACTGTGGATGAACCCGGTAGCAACTTGTTGAACGCAGATGCCTACGCACTTTGGTTCCTATCTGGTGGGAGCACCGTGTGAGCAATGGGCGTGTTCGATGCCTTGTTTATGGCGCAAGAAGAAGAAGCGAACCACTCAGCACCGTTGTTTCGCGCACCGGACTCCGATGGCTGGGCCACATATTACACATGCCAGACCATCGGCTTCCGAGACGTGCGTTGTTTGCTCGCTGGGGGTGCGGATGGAAGAAGAGGACGTGTGGCCAAGTGATGATTCGGTCAAGAGGAACAAAGTCCCTTACTTTGATGC